GTTATGCTCCTTTTAATTGAGACTTTCAAGTCAAAAAATCTTTGATTTAGTTCATATTGTTTATCATTTTGGTCACAACTTGGTCTTTTTGTTAAAAAACTCATGATGTGTCTTGTTAATTCACGACAACATGATGATATGTCCAAAATTAATGCATGTGGAAAGACAAGATGGCAAAAAAATAATGACATGAAAAAAAAATAATATGATAAAAAATATTAATATGAAAAAAAAGACTTAAAAAATTCTTTTTTTTTCCTTTCTCTTTCCCCTTGAGGTCCTGAGTTCAATGGAACCCAAGGGCAAAAAATAAAAAATAAAAAAAATTTTGTTGGTTTTGTTGTTTGAAGATTATGAAGAATTGATTGATGAAAATGAAGAATTGATTGGTGAAGAAGGCAAGACAAGGAAGAGGAAAGAGAAATGGCGCCTGCTGAGTTTGATTGAACCAAAGTGCTAGGTTCCTTTGAACCTAAGGAACCCAACATGCTTGGATTAGATGGAACCCAGCATGCCTAGGTAAATTTCTATTTTTTTTATGAGTTTTGTTCTTTGATGATGATGAAGAATTGTTTGATAAAGAAGGTAAGGCAAGGAAGAGGAAGGAGAAAGAGAAAGAGAAGGAAAAAAGAGAATTTTTTAAGTTTTTATTGCTATATCATTAATTTTTGTCGTGCCTCCTTTTCATGTGGATTTAATATTTTGACATATCATCATGCTTCTATTAGTTAATTGGACACGCAAGCAGATTTTTAACAAAGGGACCAAGTTGGGGTCAAAATGATAAATAGTAGGAACCAAATCAAGGATTTTTTGAGTAACGGGCCTCAATCGGAGTTCTGTACAATAGTTGAGGGACTCAATTGGAGTTCCATACAATAATTGAGAGACCAAAAAAGGGGTTTAACCAAAAAATAAAAATTAATATTTTTAAATTAAAAAATTAAAAATTAATATTTTTATTTAAAAATTGATAAAATTAACATTTTTAAATAAAAAAACTACAAAATTGAGTCTTGCACATTTTTTCATATTTTATGTATTTATAGTTTTTTCAAGGGTTGGTTATGATGATATACAGTAAATATAAGTTAGTTTTTTCAATTATCAATTATTTTTAATAATCAAATTAAATGGAATTGAGTAGTTTTAATAAAATATAACTATACTCTAAAATTGTGTTATTACCTATGAAGATCAAGAAATATCAAAACAGTCGCCTACAAGTGGAATAAATTTAATAGTAGAGAGGAATGCATGGATGTTGTAAAAGGAGAATTAGAATCATCAATTGAGGGAGACGTTTTTATACCAAATTTGAGAGTCGGTAGACTAAAAAGGAACTAAACAAATTGAGGGAATATTTTGACAAAAAAACAAAAATTGAGGGACCAACAAGATAATTTCTAAACCTTATTTTTACTCTCCATCATATTTCCATTGTTCTTAGGAATCTTTCCACGTGTAGTTTTTTTTTCTTTTTTTTGAACATAGAAGAATTTTGAGAAATGAGAAATGAGAAATTTTTTTAAAATCATCGTTGAAAATTCAATTTTTTACCAACTAAATCTAAGTATTAAGATTTATGGATGAACCATTAATTTCGAAAACACTGTTTCTCTTTCTACTTGTAGTTTGCTGAGTGTTTCCCCATAAAAAATTTTTTTAACTATCGTTGAATCAGTGATTTATTATATAGACAAGAAAGTAGATTACTACGTGGCAAAAATGTTTAAAACCCTCTTTAAAAATACTCAAATGAAAATAAGATGTTCCAGCATGAAATGGCTAGACAAAGCATCAGAAACTACTCAGATTTAAGATCTTATGATCACACGACTTAACAAAAACAATGTAGGAACAAGGGAATTGAGGACAGAAGATATATTGGATGCCAAGAATGGCTAGCCCTAAGATCAGTGCAATAAGGGGTGGCTTTCTAAATTTTATTGAAGGCAACAATGTCACAACTCTGGACATGCTCGTTGCAGGGCTCGACCGTGAGGTGTTCTTCTATAAGGGAATCCACAGAAACAAGGTCATCCACAATGGTAAGCATTATCTGCAGCTTCTTAATGCCATAACCGACTGGAACCAGTTTTGCTGCATTTATAAGACTTGCATCAGAACTACTTGGAAATTAAAGCAGAACAAGGAACATGTCAAAACAGATAATATAAGAATGCTTAAACCAAACCATACATGCTCCCCACAGTAGACCAGGCATTTCAACACTTCGTACAGCCTCTTCCAGCTTCTTCATGTCAGTCTCATCATCCCAAGGTTTGATATCCATAAGAACAGAAGACTTTCCACCTACAGAATACAGAATATGTCAACATCAGATGAGAAGGAAAATCATTCAGCTTTTCACAATATAGCAACATAAATAAGTTGGCCCTAAGTTCAGAAGCTGATATAATACATGTTAGCCTTACTCCTTACTTTCTTTCTTCTTGGTGGATGCCTTTTTAGATGCCTCCCTCTCCTCTGCTGCCTTCTTTTCCTCCTCTGTCTCATCACCAAAGAGATCCAAGTCATCATCTCCAGCATCGGCCTGACAAGGTAAAGATTAAATAGAAAATTATTGGTAGAACTGAAAGCAAAAGTAATTAGTAAATCAGATTATCATCCCAGAAAGTAATCTGGCCTCATACACAAACTTTCTAAGGTCTAAAACAAAATATATTGCTAAGCCACTAACCCTCCCTTTTGGGAGAGAAATATTGAATTAGATCCCTTCCCCATAGAAACCAGGTATCCACACTAGATTTAGAAAGTGCAATTAGGAATTACAATCATTTACTAAAAAACGAACAAAGTTAAAAACGTAAACTTGACCAGGACACACCTTGGCTGGAGCAGCTGCAGCTGGGGCACCTTTTCCACCGATTCTTACACCAACAGCCTTTCCGGGGAAGCTGCCATCATAAATAAAAATCATAAGTAGGAAGGTAAATTATGCTACAGATTCAGAGCCACAAAAATTATCCTGAATATACCCACAAGTGAGATGGGTTTGACAAAGTTCAATTCTTGCACCGACCTAAAAGTGGGGATTATCGCACAATATGGGAAAGTAAAAGTCAGAAAGATTAACAAATGAGTACCTGTTGGCAAGATGTGAAGATACACACTCGTACCACTTGCTAGCATTGGGAAAGGATTCAGCAGGCTTCCCCAGAACAGCAGCATAGACCTTTATGTCATCTTTCGACAACTTATTCCTGTGAAGAATCAACTCTCTAAGTACTGAATTTCGAAATAGACAATTTGCAACTGTAAATCGGAGTATCCAGGGAAAAGAAGGAGAAGTACCCGGAGATGTAAGTTTTTCCGGCAAGGAACTTATCCAGAGACTTGAGGCCCGCCTCGGTGTGGAGATCGGAGAAAGTTATCGCCATTGATCTAATGGACAAGGAATTGACGGAGAACCTCAGTCGTTAGCGCCGCCTTCAAGGAGAAGGGTATATATACGTGGGAAACAAAACCCTAGAAAGCATTTTCGTCTGATAAGATCTTGTGACCCGACCCGGCAACGGTGACTGGTTTTTTTTCCTGGTTGAAATAATGTTTAGGACTAAATTGATATAAATTTTAATATGGGGACCAAATTGTTCATTACATTCTAACAGTAAGGACTTTATGGACAGTTTAGCTTTAACTTATTTATTTATGAGGTTGTGTAACTTTTAAGCATTAATTGCATATTTTATTTAATAATTGTTAAAAAATTAAAAGTTAACTAAAATTTTATCTACACTCAAATATAGGATTATTTGTTATAACAGTCAACATTCAACAAATATGGTAAATAGTGGATAGTAGATAGTGAATAGTAGATAGTAGTTATCAATAATAGATAGTGAATAATAGTTGCTGATTGTAAGTAGTGATTAGTGGATAACGAGTGACGAATAATGAAAAATAAGTAGCAGATAATAAATAACATATTCGATTAATATAATTATTTAATTATA